AGTACTGGCTCTATAATGGATCCCTGAGGAAAGCTTATAATTGCTAGCTACTAGTTGTACTCCATATGACAAGTCATAACCTGCGGGATTTGTTAATTTTCTCTTTTTCCCCCCCACATTCTCCCTTTCCCTCCCCCTGCAGTCCCTTGTCCCGATGCTGCGTTCCCTTATCACTCCCCCTCCCCCGCGGTCCCTTGTCCCGACCCTTTGTTCCCTTATCATTCCCCCTCCCCACACGGTTCGCCCCTGCCCCCACCCCCCCGCCTTTCCCATTGCTGTCCCCGGGGTTTCCCTGCCCCTGTCCCCTGCCTCCCATCCCATTGACCGTGGCTCAGGTTCCCCCCCGCCCCCGGCACGGGGTATAACCGACCCCCACTCGGTGCCCCAGTGGTCTTGGGAACATGCTTCTGCAATAAACACGTGTTTGCACCCGAGCCCCGTGTCACCATTTTGTCTGTTCCCACGCTAGAACTGAGCCTCGCAGAGCCGAAGGGGGAAAAGCAGCCGCCGCCTCTCCCTCCCTCCTGCCGTGCCCGCAGGTGCCCGCCCGGAGCCGTCTCACACAGCAGCAAATGGTAGCAGAAGATGGCTATTTCCATCGATTTGTGAAAGGGGGAGAGAGAAAGGAGCTCTGCCACCGCAAGAGCTCTGCAGACACTAAGAGGAGTTGACACTCCACGCAAACAGACCCGAAGCTCCGGGACCCTCTTCCGTCCTTGCCGGTGTGCTCTCTAACCCGCCCGGGAGCAGCCGCGCTGCGGGGGCAGCCGGACTGCAGGGGCCGGGAGCCGGGTAGACTTACCTGAGGAGGAAGAGGACAGTTTGGCAGTGGCTCAATGGACTGAGCTCGAAGAGTGGCCCGTCCACTCTTGAATGGAGACCAGAGGTTGACAGTGGCCGAACCCAGGGTTTCAAGGGCGAACTCTGGTTAACAGGAACACCCAGACTTCTGGGAGAGCCAAACCAATAAAAAATACGTCCTCAGTTCAGTGCGATTTTCCACCACCGAGGAGAGAGATAGAAATTTCACCGCCCGAGCCCGGAGGGTAAGTTGGGTCAGAGCAGGGTTGGAACCCTGGCGGGCGGCTGGGCTACCTTTTTTTCTTTTGAGTTTTAACCACCGTCCGCACTCAGACAGGGACTGTAGGCTTGCATGTCCCTGGCAGCCGGGAGGCTTTTTCTTTTCCAAGGAGGAAAGAACCTCGCTTGGTCTTTTTGGGGTAACTCATACTGGAAAGCTCCTTCTCTTTCTCGGAAAGCTGCCTTTTCTACCCTCTCCTCCCTATTCCGAGCATTGGGGGCAGGGGAGGTCGAAAGGACACCAATGGGACAGAATTGTAAACGGCGACATGTCAGCTATGGGAGAATTGTTAGCATCCTAAGAGAGGCCCTTCACATCCACTCATTTCATCGGCTTCCAGCCGCGTCGGGTTCCTCTCCTGTACTTTTCCCCCTCAGCTTCTGCGAAGCTTTCCATTCCCTTTTCCCCACAGACTTCCCCAAACCTTCTCCCCTGGGGATGGCAGTGGCCGAGCCGCCCCAAGCGCCCTGCCAGACACTGTTATCCTCCCTCAGGGGTGGCATTGGCTGTGCCTTCCCAGGTGAGATGCAGTGCACCCGGCACCCCCTCCCAAGATGGCGCTGGCCACGCTACAGGGACCCCATTGTCCCGCCGTAACCCTTCTCTTCCGCCCAAGTTTTCCCACCAGCCCCACTCCTCCCCCAATGGCCCTGCACCATCCTGCAGCGAGCCAGCACCTACTGGGGGGAGGTGAGGTTGGATTAACTTTTTTGTTTGTTTGTTTAATTTAAGTAATATCAGAAGAGAGTGGACCAAATCAATTGGCCTAGGGATACTCACTTTCCAGAAAGGAAACCATATAAAAATGCAACTAGTAAAAAAAAAATCTTCAACCTCTGAACACTAGAGCAAGTAAAGAAACATTTGTTGGAGACTGTTAAGAAAGACAGTGTAGCTGAAACCCTCCTGAAATATGTGCTACAATTTGAAAAAGTTAAAATAAAATAGTTCCAAACTGACCCCTGCCCCCAAAGAGTCTTAAGGAGCTCTCTCTAGAGACTGCAGAAGTTTTTATGGCTCTTACATGGAAAAGGTCAGCATTTAAAACTTAAGCTTGCATTGCTGAGAAGCAGATAGGACCAGTAAACAGAGATAAGACAAAGGCAGGTGGGAAGTTGAGAAGCCTAAAAAGACTCTTGAAAAGTGGTTTTCAAAGCTTAAGCTATTACAGTAAAATTTTGCTTAAACAGAATGAAAAAGACAACCATAAGGAAAATTATAACAGTGTAAAATGATACACTGGGTTTACAAGGCCTGAAAGAACAGTCTTTTCCTTGGTCAGTATTTCATATTAGATGATAGTTAAGATGTCTGTTAACCCAAACCATGCTGTGATTGTATGTTTCCATGCTAATGGAAGATGAAGATGCCAATAACTTGTGTATGCTTTGCAGCACCTATTTGAAGTATCTGTACAGCAATAATGAGGTCAAGTAGAATAGTTGCTTGTAAATATATTGAAGTTAATATTCTTCACTCATGGAGGTGTGAAGGAACTGAAGTATGAAATTACTCTAACCAAACTGTTAACAGCCAATGGACTGGCAGGTTGCCACTGTAACTCCCATCTACTGAATGGGCTCCAGAGGGAGCTGCAGTAACGTGGTTGCTTCCATATTCTGGAGATGGCTCTCAGTCTTTTGGAAAAAGAGGGTGAAAGGGAGAAAGTAGATAAAACAAAACAACCAAACAACCAAAAAAAAAAGCACCGTAGAGAGAAATATCACCAAGCACAGATCAGCACAGTTTTACTGGGGAAGCATTAATGTGGCTCCTCTAAAGGGAAGTTCTGCTTCATTTACCTGCTGGAATTGCAAAAGGGTGACAATAACTGTGTATTAACAGTAATCTGATCTATGTTTTTTCTCAATTGCCTTTAACAAAGCTCCTCATGAAAGGTTATAAATATTTTTTTTTTTTTTTGTTCTGGAGTTGGAGTGAAGTTCCTTCTAGCAAACTGGGAACCAGTTAAAGCAGAAGAAATAAAGAGTGGTGCTTGTGTACCACTTCCAGGGTGAAAAATTGGAATCACACTGCACAAACTATTAGGCTTCTACTCTTTCTTGAGTAGCATCTGCTTTTGCCTCTGTGAGAGGCATAGTACTGCTGATGGTTAGACTTATCACTGGCTAACCCATGTGGGCATTTATAACATTCAGGCAAGCCAGTCATTGACTTGGATAGGTTGAATCTTGTATTCCACATAGAAATTTTTGGTTTGGACTTGACTAAAATTTTTCCATCTTAGATATAGCATAACTTCAGCTGGACATCATTTCATAGATAAATTAATTTATTTGGAGTTATTAGTCAGTTATTAGTCAGTTATTCTGATTATGAACTTCTCCTTAACTTATTTAATATATTTAGTTTACTTCTGCGCATCTTTTATCCACTGAAAAAAAGAAGATACATATAGAAGTTTACACTTAAAAATCTTGTACAATCACTATTGCATGCTTGTCAATTTGTGTCTAGAGATGTAGTATATATGTTCATAAATGTGTTCATTCAAATAATAATTTTAAAGTTGAAAAATTACTGGTTCAGAAGATAGAGGTTCAGGCAAGAGCCATGTCATGTTGATTTGAGTCTTTAATTGCATAAGCAATGTTTTCTCAAGGAAATATCTTGCCATGCAGTGCAAAAAGCTAACATGCTGTGAAGAGCTAAGACAGTGTGGAGACAAAAGCCACAGTAGTCTGTGTAATAGAAACTGATGATGACTGAGATTTGGAGGATGAATGAACAGCAAAGAAATTCAACCTGTGAAGGCAAGTGAGTGATCCCAAAAATAGCTGGATATCTTAAGTGTCATGCAAAGCAAGTTACTTTAACTTTTCATGTTTATAATTTTCTCTGTAATTTATGTTTTACAGCTGAGTCAGAGGTGCATTTGACTTACAATGTGCTTTAATGTACTGTGTATACCAAAAGACTTCTTTTTTTAAGTCCTTTCCTTAAGTTGGCAAATACTTTGGCAAGATTTTTTTTTTGTGCCTTATTTCAGAGGGCAAAGTAGGGAAAAGCATAAATTTTTTGTGAAGCAGGTGGTGCTGTTTGGATTACAACTGAAATAAGTGAGAATACTAGCAGTCAAACTTTCACAACAGAACTAGAATAATGTGTGTTTGTGCATTAAATGCATTTATATTTTAAGCAGAAGTTGCCTATTAAATGACTGTGCTCTGTTCTGTGTGTAGTATGATCTTTGGCTGAAACAGGTGGAGATTTTATTGCTGAAATAGTGTACAACTATATAGATAGAGAATTGTATTTATACACAAGTATAAATAAACAATTTAAATAATGTCTTTCTTTCTAGCATTTCCCAATTTGACTTTGAAACTTTAGTATTGGTATCCTGGCAACTTTATTGGTATATAATTGTATTACATTGAAAAAAGAGTAATTTAATTTATTGTGTAGACCTCATCTGGTTGATATTACAGAATAAACTATGTAGTAATATGGTAGTCCATCAGGGTGGAAAATGGGAGGAATGATTTTGTTAATAAATTTCTTGAATAGTTGCTAGATCATAAGGCATATCTTCACAAGTTTGGCTGGCAGTTTCCCCTGAGACAGAGTATTTTTCTACCTCTTAAAAGGATTCTACCTCCTACTGGTCTTCTTTTAATGTCAAATATTTTTTGTTGCCTAAATAGATGGGCTGAAACTTCTTAGTGTGACTGTGTCTGAATTTTGGAAATTCAGATGATTTACACATTTTAAAAAGCTGTTGTACAAAGGACTCCTTATGTTTGAAGTAAAGCTAAGTGTTGTCAAATTAGAACTAATTCCTGGGTGTTGACAACTTTATTCCCAGTAATATGCTGGTATGGCTTTGGATTAATTTTTGAAATTATTTTAGTGGCATCTGTGTGATTGTGCCTATTTTTTATTTCCACTTTTGCAGACTGAATCTTGAGGAAGACTTGCATCAGATGAAAATATACCAATCTGTGAGTAAGTTCACAATACAGGAACTAGGCTTACAGCAAAGAAGGAAAGTATTTTATAGTATTTTATATCTGTGTATGTAGCTTGAATGGCTTGAGCCTGGCTAAATGCCAGGCAGATACCAAAGCCTCTCTGTAACTTCCCTTCACAGCTGGATAGGGGAGAGAAAATATAACAAAGTGTTCGTGGGCTTAGATAGGGACAGAGAGAGATCACACAACAAGCACTCTCATGGGCAAAACAGACTCAGCTTCAGTGTATTAATTAAATTCATTACTAAAAAATCAAAGGAGAAGTAAAAACTGATATTAAAAACACCTTTTTCCCATCCCTCCCTCCTTCCCAGCTCTACCTCCTTCCCCCCAGCAGTGCATGGAGACGGGGAATGGGGGTTATGGTCAAACCACCTCATGTTGTTCCTCCCACTGCTCAGGAAGGAGACTCCTTCCCCCGCTCCAGTGTGGGGTCCCTGCCACAGGAGACAGCTCTCCATGGACTTCTCCAGTGTGAGTCCATCCCATGGCTAAGTCCTCCACAAGCTGCTGCTGCAAGAGTGGGTCACTCTTCCATGGGGTGCACTGCCCCAAGGACAGGCTGCTCCAGCCTGGGTCCTCCATGGGATCCATCACAAATCCTCCCAGGAAACCTGATCTGGTGTGGGCTCCTCTCTCCCCAGGTCTGCGGGTCCCTGCCAGGAGCCTGCTCCAGCACAGGCCTCCCACGGGGTCCCAGCTCCTCTCAGGCATCCCCCTGCTCCAGTGTGGGTCTCCTCCACAGGCTTTAGGTGGATCTCTGCATCCTGTGATCCTCCATGGGCTGCAGCTGCTTCACCATGGGCTGCACCATGGGCTGCAGGGGAATCTCAGAGGGAATCTCAGCTCCAGCACTGCTGGAGCACCTCCTGTACCTCCTTCTGCACTGGCCTTGGTGTCTGCAGAGTTGTTCCTCTCACATATTCTCTCTCTGCTCTTCTCTGGCCACAATTACATCTGCAATCACTTTTTTCCTTCTTAAATATTTTACCATGTTACTGTTAACTGACTGGCCCAGCCTTGGTCAGCTTGGTTCATCTTGTAGCTGGCTGGCATTGGCTCTGCTGGATGTGGAAGAGGCTTCTGGCAGCTTCTCACAGAAGCCACCCCTGTAGACCCTCCTACCACCAAAACCTGGCCACTATAAACCCAGTTCAGTAGTCTGTCAGAATACGAATTATTTATATAAGGTTATTTTCTCTCCAAAGTTTGATTTCTTTTTCATGAATATTTTATAATCATATGGTCATACATGTGATTTGAAAGTAGCTTTGATCATTAGTTGTCTACACATCTATTAAGTCAATAACAATTTATATGAATAAATGCACACTAATACATTTGCAACTAATGTGTGTATTCTACCTATTTTTGAAATATAATGATATAGAAATTTCATGATTATTCTGACATTTCTTAATTCTAGTATCACAAAGTATATTAATTTGAAAATAAATCAAAATGGTGAAATTGTAAGAATTGTTCACGGGTATATTCTTTTCTGTCTTTATAATCTTTACAGTAGTTGATAGTTCTGTGAAGATGAGTCTTTGTCAGTCAGATAGGTAATATATTGCCACTGCCTCTCCCATCACTCCTCTGATTCTGTGTTATATGAGCTGTTCCTGAACAGTCTGGGAGAAATATCCAAGAGTGCATAATTACAGTCCATCTGGATATTGCATCTGTGGTGAATTCTTTATGCACACTATTGTGCAAAGGAAGTAAGTAGGAGACTTGGAGAAGTACTCTTTACATTCTTAGCAATAAAACCTTACCATTCTTTATTGCAGTTTTCTCCTGGTGTCTATTATCTATTTTTTGTGATAATGTTGACCACTTGAATGAAAAAATAGAGATTTTTTCCTTAACTTTAAAATTCTGTCTTTAAAATTAGGTGGGAATATCAAGCTGCTGAAACCTGAAGGTTACCTTTTTCTTTTGTAATACTTCTTATGTTATGTTATGTTCATAGCCACAGAACTGAAGGTTTAAATACTGATTTTAAGAAGCACTTCTTTGTATTTTTCCAATTCAGTTAGTCTTTGCAGAAAGAGAAGGGAAAAGGTAACCAGTGGTGAGAAGGAGTTAAGGGCCTGCTGAGCAATATCTGGCCTTTTCCAAAAAACAGTCAGATCTCCAGAACTGCCAGTTCTTGACATGCTTAATGCTTTAACAATCAGTATTTTCTTCCTTTTTTTTTTTTATTAATTTTCTTTTCACGTAAATATATGCTCTTTTAAAAATTTGTGGGTGGATGCACACTCCTGGCTTGGTTATTAGTATAATGATTAGCTATTTTTTTGTGGGGACTGAAAAAAATGTTTAAACTGCTAGTGAAGTGTTCTAGGCAAGTTTTTGTTTACTTTTCCCAGTCTGTGTTGTTATGGGTATCATTTAAATGAAAAGGAAATGTCTAATAAGATTCAAATCCAAAGATATGTATTAAAAAAACTTTCCTGTTAGCACAGAAAGACTGAGATGATTCTAGCTGTTTCCAAATTTTCACCAACTGAAGTGTAAGAAAATAGTCACTCACAAGGTCTCTAAAAAGCAATTTTCTTATTGTTCCTCTTGAAAATCAAAAGAAGTTGCAGTCATGACGCATGTATTGTTTGGGATTTTCTAGACATTTGCACCATAATGATTGAAGCTAAATGTTCATCTTTGGGCATAAATGCTCATTAACACTTAGTGTTAAAAATCTATGTTCATGTTCTCAGAAAGTGCAAACACCCTCTGCCTTAAAAAGGGGGTTAAATGCCTTCTTCCTAAATAAAAATACAACCTCATGTCTGTTATTAGTAATTTGCTGGGACTCCAAACTTGATATGGTTTAAACACAGTTCATGCATATTTTCAGTATGTTTTATTTTATTAAAGAAAACCTGATGTCAATTTCCTCAGTTTATCGGTGATGTTGGAATTCACTTTCATCTTAGCAGATAGGTACCTGTTTTCATCAGGCATTCTAAAAACAAGGGATAAAAGCTCTAAAAAGAGACTGAGCTTTCCTGTATTAAACTTGTCTTTATTGAACATCACTTGTGTTTGTCAGGAAGAAATAATGGATAGTTTTGTTGTTCTTCCACACAACTTTTCAAATCCTGTTCATCAAAGATGAAGTGGGTCAAGGGAAAAGGAAACTCTGTTCCTGCCATTCCCAATTTCTTTCCATTCTGTTGCACAGTTATTTACTGATAGTCATCAAATCCAAATTGACTGTTCATGCTATTCATGTCCTTATTTGCTTATGAAGGTAAAGGATGTGTTGGCAGGTAGTCATGCCATTTCCTCCAAAAGCAGGAGAGTGGATCCATCAAATCCTATTCAGAAAAATAGCAAATGCCTTCTTAAAAAGCAGTAAACTGTTGGCCTGCTGTTTCTCCCAGGTGGCAGTATGACAGCTTCTTTCATTATGAGACTCCTGAATATACTGTGTCCTCAGTATATATACATGGGAGTGACATTCCCTTCTGGTCTTCAACCTGGTGTTTCCCACCAGAAGTTTCTTTCTACCCAGGAGCATGGGCACCTACCACTGGAGTCAGTAACACAGTGGCTTTGTGCACCATGGCGCCTTTTTTTGTTAGGGAAATCCTTCACCTGGTGTGTACTGCAGGCAAAAATGTCATTCCTTTGATGGTTTGTATAGTTTATTTGTAAGTGACTATTACAGTGCTCTATTGTATCTTTTTTTTTTTTTTTTTTTTTTATGGGGTGTTTTTTTCCTTATGTAAGCAGGCTTTTTGCAAATACTAGTGTACTGTAGTTTCATAGTTCAAGTACCATTTTGGCAGCAGTATTGAACTAACTCATCATCAGATTTGATGACTGCTAATCAGGAATTAAGTTTTACATTCTAAAGCTGACAGTTAACTATATTTTCTCAGTGGGATGTAACTGTGCTTATGTAAGACCATGGTAATTTGATGGCTGAAGATAGTTGGCTTTATGACTTGTGGGTCTGTTCCTTGAGGGAGAAGATGTTACTTTTTTATGTAGAAGTATGATGGGTAAAGCATGTCTTGCTGAGTAGACTGATATGATGTATCTTTCTGCTCTCCTAGACAGACAGTTACAGGTGATGCTGTTTCACTGCCTCCCTAACCAATTCCTATGAACAATTATATAACAATTAGAAGGGAGGAGAGGAGAAGGGGCTTGAATGGGCCATATATTTTCTGCTCAATAGAAAGGGTTAAGTTTCAGTGACCTTTGGCTGCACTTCAATTTATGTTGCTTGTGTCTTTGATAATACTGAACATGTATCATTTTTTCTATCCCTTTTGCAGTGGTATTATTTATTATCTGCACATAATATGACTATTTATAGTTTTAAATTGCATTTTAATACATCCACATAATAAACATAACACCTTGTGTGCTTTGATCAGTTTCTTTGACTATGGGAAATAATTTCTTTTTCAGTGGAGTTCAGTAAATGCTGATATAAAAGCCAGAAGAGGCATTCAAATGAGTGAATATTTAGAAAAAGATGAAAAGCATGTTCGTATTATTTTTGTGTGTTACTTAAAGAATGTTCTAAATGTATGCAGTACCACTGTGCTGGGGGACTGTAGTCTGAAGTAACATGGGAACTAACATATTAATATCAAGGTAAAGGTACATATTCCCCAGATGCATAGTTTTACCTTTTTCAGCTTTTATTATCTTTAGAATAGTGTTCTATTTATTTCATGAATACAGAAGTATTAATTGGCCATGACATGTTCCAAAGACAAAAGAAAGGTCTAATTCACTCTAACAAACTTGTTAGTCACTGTTTATATCAAGAGGATTGTGAATCTACAGAGAGTAACACTGTTTTCTTCTACACTTGCTTTGTTTATAAATCAAAAGTTTTTAAGTGACCTGCAGTGTCTGCTTGCAGTTTAAAATATTACTTCTAAAGCAGACCTCTACCATGTAGCACAGATATTTATCCCTCAAGATTAATTCTTTAAGTTCATTTGGGGGAAAGAAGGACCAAAACAGAAATACTAACATTGTGGTGCTTTTAGCGTATTGTGATTTTTTTTGTTCTGTAATGCAATATTTCATATTCTAAGTTGAAATCCTTCTGATGTGTGTAATCGCTCATGTCTGTGAGCAGTGGGCAGTTTGTGAATGCTAAGTTCTTGACTTCTGATTGACCATATGTATTTTTTTTATGAATAATTCTAATTTTTAACTTAGTATTCTTAGTATCTAAAGTGTATAGCTGTCTCTCACAGTGATGCTTAGATTCATTTCAACTGACATTAGTTGTATCAGTTTTCTTGTTTCTAGTCATTATGATTTCACAGTATTTCAGTTGAATGATTTGTGTGATTTATCTATCGGAGTACCTGATCTTTAACTTAACAAAAACCAGGGTTTAAAGTTTTCATCCATCCTAATTCAGTTACTGTTTGCTTTGTTCACCAATCACTCTGATCCTCCTAGCAGGGGACAAGACCTAGAGAACAAAACTGATAGTGACTGTGTAGATAAAACGGCAATGAATTCTGCTTTTAAGGCATAGAGGGAATAGTCTGTAAAAGAATAAAAATTGGAATGAAAGTGCAGTGTCTTTAACCTGCAGATCTATTGTACCTTTGAAAAGATTGTACTCTGAAAAAACATACTGTGATGCTACAGAGATTCATAATTATGTGACAGAACTCTTTGAAGAGAGGTCACTTTAGAAACTGACCAAAAAGCTTGTCAACAAAATAGACCACATTATAAATAATTACAAAAATAAAGAATGCATTTCCTTAAAATGTCTACAAATTGTTTTAGTGAAATACTAGGTGTCATGTTGTATTTTATTTATTATATGATAGACATGTGTTATTTATTTTCTGATAGAGCCACTTTTTAAGCTTAGTGAAGATGATGTGGTCAACGGTAGTACTCCAAAGAGGAATATGAAAGAAGTTTCACATGAGATGTTACAGAAGGTAAGATACCAACCATGTGTAGATGTCAGTACTCATGAATTTAAGCCATCATTTTCCTTCAAAATTTAAAAATGTGGCTTTCCAGAATTTTGCTCAGAAATTAATTCTAGGGAAATAGCTGTGAATGTGTCATGTAAATAAACATACCAGCCATGTGTAGGTGTCAGTACTCATGAATTTAAGCCATCGTTTTCCTTCAAAATTTAAAAATGTGTCTTTCCAGAATTTTGCTCAGAAATTAATTCTAGGGAAATAGCTGTGAATGTGTCATGTAAATAAACATGGGTAATGTCAGAAAAAATGAAAAGAGTGTTTAGGCATGTAATGTTGAAAGCTAGCAGATTATCTAAATTGTAAGTAGCATTTTGCCCCTTAACTTCGGGAACCTTAATTTTTTTGCCGGGTATTTAACTTTAGATGATATCAGGTGTTAATCTCCATAGAGCTCCTCTACAGAATAGAATTGATGCATAATAATGATAAATTCACTGTTTGTTGTATTTAAAATTTAGCACAATGTTTCATGTGCAAATGTTTTCTACATGTGTGGGTCTATCTTTTTACAAGACAGTGCTATGTGCATGTAGTGCTCTCTAGTTTAACAAATGATTATAAGTATTTTATCTTTACTGCTTAACATTCTACAGGTTTTGCCTCATACAGTGACGGGATATTCTTAACTAGTAGTATTTGTACTGATATTTGTAATATACACAAGTAGTTCAGTATGTTAACAGGTGTTCACTTAAGAGGGCTCACTTGTATTTTACCATATGTTTTGTTTGCTTGCAAAGAAAAGGCATCCTTCAAACAGTATCATGTCTTTTGTTTGTCATTTTGCAAAACTATTTGTTTAATTACTTATAAATCTTTAAAAGCGTGCTTAAATTGAATAAACACAAGTCTATAACTTTGAATGTCAGTTCAGGTATGTCTATTTATTTTTTATCTGTGAATTAACTTGTAGGAAGTATGGTAATTTACAGCAGATGATGTGATTGCATATACTTGTAACACTTGCCATATGGTCAGGCAATGAAGGCTGTCATCTCGTTATTACTGAATGACAAACATCATGTTAAAATAATAACACACAGAATAGGAAGTGCTCACATTCATTTATCTTAAGGTAGAGTGAGTAATTGAAATAATATGAATGCTACCATCTGAAATGTCACAGTTTATGCTTGCTTATCATCTATATTTCAGAACTATAATTTTGTTTGCCAGGTACTACATAATTTTTATCTCTATGGATATACAGAGTTATGATGGTACCTCAGGGATAGGTGTAGAAGCTATTTATTGTTTATTTCCTTCCAGCTGTCATACATGACTTTAAGTGCTACTGAGTACAAAAGGTTCCTTTAAAGAACAGAGAAAACAGTAGCAGAATCTCAGTTTGGGAAGGTGATTGAAGAAAGATATTGGTCTAACACATTGTCATTGGGATGGAAAGTGCAAACTATGATTTTAATTATGTTTTACTAAAGCATTTGGGAAAAAATCCCTTTTATTTCTAATTTTACTCATTAACTTTATGTAGCCATAATAATTTGTCTCTCCATATTAAAGATTTCCTATCAAACTCAGGAATTCAGTAGCCAATTCACAAATACGTATGAAGTTTGTGCAGCTCTTGTCCTAATTTGCCCTGTACATCAAGTGCTCTCATTTATCTGAATCATATCTGTAGTACCCACTTTGTACAACATTTCAGAAATTTTAAAATAATTTGAAAGTGTTGGCAAAATGTTGTAAAAACCTAAAAGTAAAAACTTACAAAAATAATATGGTTTCAGTATTTTCAGTGTCAAAGATAGTTTTGACATTTTGTATGGCTACAAAGTGTGGGAACCGGCCAGTATTTTACGAGGTTGTGAGTTCAGGTTAGCCATACACATGCTAGTAAAACTTCTGGAAAAACAGTCTTTGCTAACAATGTACAGAGAAACCTAGAACCCCTGATATATTCCTTAGTGAAAGAGTGATGATTGAGCTTGTACAAAACCATCCGCAAATATTTCTCCAGGAATTGGAGTAAGTGGTTAGTGAGCACAAAACTTGCTCTAATGCTCTTTTCAGGCTTCTGGGGATGTCTCATAGACTAAATCATCACTTAAGTATCTGCTAAAATTAAAATTGCCCCTTATTTTTGGAAATTGTCCTTTTTGAGGATATTCCAGAACATCACAGACAGTTTATTTATTTGTCAGATTTCAATATCCATAAGCCTCAAAGGACTTTAGAAACAAAACATAGGTTGAATGGTGTGTTCTTCAAAATTTATGTGAGAAACATGGAAAATTAATCTCTTTATTGGAACACAATAGATTTTTCCTCTCTGTGAATAGAAAACACATACTAGCTTCCATATTTTTAGGTCCTGAGTTTCTGATATCTCTTTCTGGGATTTGTTTGGGGTTTTTTGAAAGATCAAATTAATACTTTATTTCTGTATTTATGACACTTGAAAGAACTTGTTGCTTCAGATGGCTAGTGCAAAATTGTCTATATTTCAAAGTAGCAATCTTTCTGAAAATGTTTTTTAAAATTCAAGTAGTATGTATAACAAAATCATAATGAGCTCAAGATGCATTAGGAAGATTCATTAGCATGGCATACTTAAACTTCTGTGTCATTTTGCCTGGTATTTTAAGTTCTTTTACCATCTGCCCTTTGTTCAACAGCTGTATTATTGCAGCTAAAATGTTTTCATCTGCCCTACATTAAAGTTATTTTAAAATTAAGGACTACAGATAGCTTTTGTCCTTGCTCTTCATGTGATATTATTGTCATATAACAAATATATCTGAAAACATAATATGGAGTTTTTCAAGACAGGCTGAAATATTGTAAACACTAAAATTGCTCTTTTTAGGTACAACAGTTAGAGAGAAGATTCAAAGCTATTGAAGGGGAATTAAAGAAACAGAAAGAAGTAAATAAGGACTTACTGAATGAGAAAATGTATTTGAAAGAATTTTTAAAAGTGCAAAAGGAAGATACAGACACAAGGAAAAGAGAGCTGGAAACACTAAAGAGGATTTGTGAGGTCAAAAAAGAAAAAGCAGAACTTCATTTCATGATTGATGAGAAGGAGAAAGAAGCTGCCTCTTAAGTAACAGATGCTAACAGGTTGAGAAATGAAAGTGAAGATTTGCTGAGTCAAGTGCAGGAGCAGAAGTGTTTGCTGGATAAAGCCAAAGCAGTGGTAATTTCTGGGCAATGTAATTGCAAGATAACAGGCACCAAGGTTAAATTAAAAACAGCCAAGAAAAAGAGCTCTTTGGGACATCATGGAGCTTTTCTCAAACAGTCCATCAAGGTTATGAGTAATGTGTTTGAGAACTTCAGTAAGGACGGCTGGGAGGATGTGAGTGAAAGCAGGTACGGCTCTCATTAACTTAGCCCTGTAGAGGGGACACTGTGCATATGTAAAGCACTAGCAAATGGAGATTGAATTTCAACTACTGTTGATTTGGTATTCAAAAAAAATACTGTCAGATCCTTTGAAATATCTTGGGAGGTCTTGTTCGGAGCTTATTGACTGAAATTTGCATGCGAAATTAGCCACAACTGCATGAGTATTTGAATAGGTGCCAGGAAACCCAAAAGAAGGCAATGCTTGATTTCTTCCAGTGATGCTATTTTCATGCAGTCATGAGGCTTGAAATTGACAGTTTGGCAGGTTGATTTAATTTGCTGGCCTTTTGCATATTCACCACTGACAGCTAAGGATTCCCAGGCAAGCCTAGTAAGTCGGTTTAGTTATCTTGTGACATGCCGACCCGGGAGGAGAAACATTTTTTCCCCTTAATTTAGTTAGATAAATTTTGAATGACCCATTTCAGCTTCCTAGCAGATGTCTACAAGCTGTTTAACATCCTTTAAATTAAGAACCATCCACACTAATTATTTCCTGTATGTTTTATGCAGTCATTGTACTAACTTTAATTGAATGATGGTTAAAAATCTTTAAAGGTGATGGTTACCACATACAATCCCAGTCACAAATCAAAAGGCTCTCAGAAAATTCCACTGGCAAGCATCATATAAACAATGAAAATTTTTGCATCTCCTTATTATGTCCCCATATACTTGAGGAGGCAGCAGTTAGCCACTAGGTAAATAAGTGGTTATCACACCTTCTCTTTCAGGACATCGTTCTAAGAGAAAAGCAAAGAAATTTCTCAAGCCTGTATGTATCCAAGATACAGGAAACATGGGAAAAGAGTAAAGAAAATAGAATTGTCTTCAGAGGCTTTATACTCACTCTATGTGTCACATGGAGCAAATCAATAGTGGCAAATGAAGCCTTTCTACTATTTTTCCCCATGCAAAACAGAGGGTTCCTGAACAGAGTATCTCAAGGGAGAAAACAAATTAAAAATCATGTAATCAGTCAGTTGTTATCATTAATGTAAACCTTGGGGTTTTTTATGTATAATTAAATATTGCAGATCTGATTTTAATAAAAAACATACATGTTTGCACATATGAAAACATGTATGCTTGTTGTAATTAGTAAGTATTTAATTTGCTGTGTTGTTGTCTTTAAGAAAAAAATTGAGCAAGCACATTGTCATTCCACTTCTGGTTTGAAATGGAAAGTATTTGCATAGCTTCACTTGTGGCTAGCCATAAATACTACTTTTAATAATTGTACAAATATTGGGTTAGGGAATTCTTGTTGTAGAACAGTGAACATTGTTGAAAGTGAAGTTTCAGGGTGTCATTCTCAACAAGTTAGGGAAGTATCTTCATTTAGTTTCTGTTCTGCTTATTAATAAATACCATTCTTTATTACTAGTAGCTGGCTCTGAATTTTTAAATGCAATCCTTCCATTTTCTAAATAGAACATTCCTGAAAGCAGGTGAGGGAAATGTGTATGTAGTTAGAAATATCTGTTGCTATACAGCAGCCCCTTTAAACCATTGCATTGATTTCTGTTCTCATCAGTCAGTGAGACATACCAATGTGTCAGGACAGGTTTTAAAAAATATAAACATGTTTATGTGTGAACTCTTCTCATCAGTTTGAGGCCTTTTCTCTGGTTAAATAAACTGCATCTCTAAACCATGGATTTTTATGATGCTGTAACTTAATTTGAACTCAGCTATGCTGTTTTAAATACCTTGGTTTAAAAAGTAACAAATCAAACTAGCCTTCTGTTTAGGAATTCCTTCACAAATCTGCTCACACAAATGATGATATGTATAGCTGCCGATATTATAGAAAAGAATATATCCAAGACTTCATGTTTTAAAGTAGACTTCCTTGAATATAAGAAAGCAAATGATAATGTGGGGTAAGGCAGTGAAAAAACTGAAAATCAGGAGCACATTGAGTGCAAGTCTAAGGAAAAATTGTAATATTTAAAGTTTCAGGTCCAGTTTCTCTGCATGGCAGGAATCTCAGAAAAAGGATTAACAGGTTTGCAGAATTTAAGAATTCTTTAAGAATTTAAGAGCATTCCAAAGGGGTACTAAATAAAGCTTTTATTGAAGTGTGAATTCTGAGTTTGTCTCAGAATTATAGTGTCTCCAACACTATAAATAAACACTATAAATGAAATAATGTTATTAAGGATTGTGCATTTACTTGTTATATTATAAATTGTGTAAATGAAGGAAAGTAGAAATTCAGTAGTTTATGAGCCATTCACAGACTAAAAGTACAATCACGTATTTTTTAATTTATTTCAGTTCTGATGATTGTCACAAAAATTGCATTTAAAGTGGTAGCTGAAGTCTCAGGTGTCTGCATTGTAGAGTGAGATTGCATTTGACAGAATAGAACTTGATAAAATAATTTCAGAGATAAATTTTTGCTTTATCATATTTGTAAAGTTTATTTATATGTGCTTATGCATTAACTCTGAAGCATTTAATATTTAGCTTGATTTTGGTTTTGGCTTTTTTTGCGGGGATTTGGGATTTTTTGTTTGGTTTTGTTTTTTGTTTGGTACTTTTGTTTATTTTGTTTTTGGTTTTTTGTTTTTTGTTTTCCTACATGTGCTACTTCAGTGACTCTGAAATACCAACTTCTGAACATTTGGAAACAGTGATTATGAAGACAGTGCAAAACATTTATCCACTGCCAGACAGAAGTACACAAGAAGAAAAAAAGCCCTGCAATTTGCTTCATTTAGAAGTCCAAAATGAGCAATATCATAAAAAGGTATATATTGTTTTGTTCTCCTGAGGGGAGTTTTGGAGTTTAATATTAGCACTGCTTCCCCTCTTAATTAATTTGACTCTCAATATAGAAGTGAAAACCTGCTTCCTGATATTCAGTGGATGGATTCATTGTATTTTAAAAAATTTTCTGAACAGTATGTCTGTTATCATGGATTCACCCTGGCTAAATGCCAGGCATCCACCAAACCATCTTGTTCACCTCCCTCTGCAGCTGGACCAGGGAGAGAAAATGTAACAAAGGGTTTGTGGACTGAGATAGGGATACAGAGAGATCAGTCATCAAATACTGCCACAGGCAAAAAAAATTTGAATTAGACATATAAATTTAATCTTTTACTAATAAAATCAGAGGAGGATAATGAGAAATAAAAGAAGACCTTAAAACCATCTTAATCCCACCCCTCCCTCCTTCCCAGCTCTACCTCCTTCCCCCCAGCAGTGCATGGAGACAGGGAATGGGGGTTATGGTCAAACCACCTCATGTTGTTCCTCCCACTGCTCAGGAAGGAGACTCCTTCCCCTGCTCCAGTGTGGGGTCCCTCCCACAGGAGACAGCTCTCCATGGACTTCTCCAGTGTGAGTCCATCCCATGGCTAAGTCCTCCACAAGCTGCTGCTGCAAGAGTGGGTCACTCTTCCATGGGGTGCATTGCCCCAAGGACAGGCTGCTCCAGCCTGGGTCCTCCATGGGATCCATCACAAGTCCTCCCAGGAAACCTGATCTGGTGTGGGCTCCTCTCTCCCCAGGTCTGCGGGTCCCTGCCAGGAGCCTGCTCCAGCACAGGCCTCCCACGGGGTCCCAGCTCCTCTCAGGCATCCCCCTGCTCCAGTGTGGGTCTCCTCCACAGGCTTTAGGTGGATCTCTGCATCCTGTGATCCTCCATGGGCTGCAGCTGCTTCACCATGGGCTGCACCATGGGCTGCAGGGGAATCTCAGAGGGAATCTCAGCTCCAGCACTGCTGGAGCACCTCCTGTACCTCCTTCTGCACTGGCCTTGATCTTTCCTTCTTAATTATATTATCATAGAGATGCTATCATTTCTAATTGGCCTATGGTGGGTCCATCTTTGAGCTGGCTCTGCTGGACATGGAAGAAGCTTCTGGCAGCTTCTCACAGAAGCCACCCCTGTAGCTCCCCCACTACCAAAACCTGGCCATACAAACCAAATATATTTATGAAACAATTTGGACAAATATGTAAAAAATTATTTAAAAATGTAAAGCTTATGTAGAAGCTAGTGGTGCTGTCTCAGAGTCCAGACAAAGACTGCCACAGACATCCCATTAAACTTTCTCTCAGTCAAAAGCACCATACAGAACAGGCTGCCCTAACCCTAACAGGGAGATAGCAGCACCTCTCTCTCCCTCCCTTCTAGCCAATGGTGTGCTGACTAATCAAGCATAAATGTCTCCCAGCTCATCTGTTGTGCCCTGGACGACTTTCTCCATCTTAGAAAGATACTTTTCACTCTCTCTGTGTCCAGAAGATTCTGTCTTGAAAAAAGTATGCTTTTAGCCTCTTTTTAGCCTATTTTCATGGATTGTCTGGGATTTGAACTGCTTGTCTCATCTATATTCTGTTTTCTCACAGAAGAGGGCCAGCTGGTTTTGTCCCAGGTCTTTAGAGGCTCCATACAATCTGTAACAGATGAGTCATTCTTGGACTTTTTAACAATGCCTAATAGATTTTCCCTCCTATGTTTGTCCAAATAAATCACTTCATGGAATTTTAAACATAGGCAGATCTTATTATTTCTTAGTTTAAGAAATAGAATCTAAAACACTGAACAACTTGCTGCTTTTAGATAACTAGTTTCAAATTCAGTATTTTGAATGGTGGTATAACAGAGCTTGAAAAAAGATTATGTTTCCTTAGTTTCCAAAATTTTAGCACAAATGGAGACTTTCTGGTCTTGTTACATATTCTTGATTGTGTTATTTCATCAATACTTGATTGTGTTATTTTATCAATTCTTTTTGATCAAATAAACTGAAAAAAAGGTGAAATCTTACCCATTAATCTGTTGGTTACACTACATAGTATGAGTAGGTGCACATGCTATATATGAAGATCTGACAAAAGTGTGCTACACCTGTTAATCTCCTACTCATGAGTGAGGACATACAAGGCAGGGAACGCAAGACACTCCGTCCTCTCTTCATTGGTAGTGGAGCACAGCCACTACAATTTCTGTAGGGCCTGTATTACATTTACTCTCTATTCCTAATGGAGAAGATGGATACATTCTGATAAACATTTGTAACAGTAGGTGGAACTGAAGCAGACTCGGGAAGTGTCGGGAGAGCCCTAAGCAGTTAAATATGCTTCAGTAGAACTCCCCTGTTGTGGGAAAAGGATTTGAAAACATGATTTGTGAGTGTGAGAGAAAGTATTGCACAAATATTTAGCATTAGCAGTTGGGAACACCAGTTTTAACAGAATTCTTTAATCCATCCAGAGGATTTAAGGACCCTACTAGTGGGTCATGGTATTCTCATACAAAGAGAGGCTAAAGATATCTCCGAAGTCTTGAGCTGTGCAAGGGGTTGGAGATAAGACCATTTATGATACAAGGACTTGGTCATTTTTTCTCCACATGGTAGGAAAATATAACACCCTGTGCAGTATCAGCAGTTAGTGTTACTCTCTTAGAACTCATACATTTATTAGAGCTGTGGCTTAGAGTGGACGTCTCAGTCTTTTTGCTGCAGTGTGGATTGTTTTCTTGTCATCTGCTGAGAGCTCAGTTCTTGGTCTTTCAAATTGTGTAGTGATTGTACTTATCTACAATTCATGTCTAAGTTGTCCTGCAATGTCAGTAGCTTGTTCAGTGCAGTTAGTAGAGAATGTGTTGCTCTTCACTCTTTTAAACTTGCTTAACAGCTATTTTAGATATGAATATTCCCAGAAATATGTTGCATTATATGACCTAGAAATTGAAGTCTGAAAACTTAAAAAACTGGAGAAATATTGCAGTATTCCTGATCAAAAAGTATTTAAATACACACTGAGCATTTAATACCTAGTAAATTAGTACAAAAACCCACTGACAGGCTGTTGCAAGATCTGCTTGTTTGAATTTGTATGTGTGTTTTAATATATTTAGCTCATTATTTTAAGGTTAAATTCTCATACAATAAATGGCTGTCAAACAGCATCTTTTCACTCGGTTAAAGCAGGTTTTTACTAAGTCCCTCCTAGTGAATCTACTGACTGATATGAGGTTTTTCATTACCTTTTGTTCATGTTTGCCCCTTGTAGCCTACATAGCCAGAGAAACAAATTAAATGTGTTTTGGATTAGACCTTAAAAAACCCTAGCCTGTTAACAAGACACTGAAGCCTTTATTTTTGATATCTTACTCAGAAATTCGAGACACATGTAACTTCCAAGTCCTTGTTGATTTTGCATTGTTGCCATTTAAAAAAAAGCACCACATGGAGTGTTTGTAAGTTGACTGTTTTATGTGTTTTATGTTTTTATAGGTCAGCCATTAATTTACCAGTATACGTACTAAGAAATATTTTAGGGGTTGCAGGAGTGTTTTGAAGGGCCAAAACAAAATCATAAATTATGCTACTTATGATGATTTTGTCCATTTATTAATATGCCATTTTATGTTCAGTGAACAGAGTAAAAGGGAGAAACACCACTGTCCAGAAAGCAGGCTACACTGCTGCAAGAAAAAATTAAGCCATCGCAGAACCAGGTAGCTGTTGTACAGAGGGAAAAAAAGACAGCAGTGGCTTCCATTAAAAATGTTAAACAAACCAATGGAAAATTAACAAGTCAGCTACATTTGGCTGATCAGAGACTTCAAGTTAAAAAACTGACCATAGAGGTAAAATACTTTTCATTATAGTGTCTTACAATGTTCACCTTAATTGTAGTGCAAATCTATGGAATTTTGATAACATTGATTTTTTGTATTATAGTCAAAATTACAAAATATTATATATTACCATGCTTTGTGTGGGCCAGTTATTATGTACAGATTATATTGAGGCTACTGTATCCACAGAATTCATTTATCCTTTTGAACATATAGTGGTCTTCATGCTCATTTTTTACATGTATTCAAATGAATGAAGTAAATGTCACTTTTAGCCTGTGATCTGCAAACCTCCCTGAGAATCTGGTCTGTCCAGAACTAGTACTTGTTCCCCTGTGGAGAGCAGGCACTGTCTCCATACACCCCAAGACAACTAGAGTTTTCTTCCGAAGGGGACTCAGATCCGTTCCGTATCTATTTAATTCCATCTTTCTCTGTTAAAGTGAAAAGCCAAAAAACCACAGTTTACGGAAATAGAGACTAGTAAAGTATTTAGTTAACAACCCAAGGACACAAACTTTCTTCTCTGCTTCAGTCTTCATTTCTTCTCAGTCCTTTTCCATCCTATTACTCCTTTCTGGTTTTCCCCATTCTCATGTATATATGTATTTTGTGTTAATCTATATGCAGCTCCTCAGCTGGAATTCTTTTCTGTTCATACTGTAGTGATTGGCCTGCCCTTTATAGAGCTGAATCAACAAACACTTATGCAGTAATTGTCTCCTGTTGGTCACACACACATCCTGCTTCCAGAATTATAGTGCTACAACAGATGGACTTGCTGGAAGGAGGCAGACATTAAAAAAGAAATCAAATCCCCTCCCCCTCAAACTTCTCTGTGTTTTTGTCTTTGCACAGAAGGCAGAAGCAGTATCAGGAGCAGCACTTTTCACTTTCTTAGGACTAGGGAACTGCTAATTTCTGAAGGAGGGAAAACTTCATTTCTGTTACTCATTTTGCATAACTATATATGTGTAATGAATTGTTTAAAAAGAGTTTCCAAGATCATTGAAACCAGTCAAGATCTGCCTATCTTACAAACAGTATCATAATATAAAGTTTCACGGACAGTGTAAACTTCACAGGCAACTATATGTGTAATTTAGCAAAAATGTTCTGATTTCTCAGATGTCTTCATGATTTGCCTTCCCTAGAAGACTACTCCTTAGGTGTCTAATGAAGAGCAATGTGAGATATGAAATACGAAATGCCGTTATCAGGGAACTGGTTAAAAAAAAAAAAAGAAAAGGGGAGGAACAAAATTTTTGTCAAGATAAGAGCTGCTGTAATGAAAAAGACTGACTAAAATAAAAATACCATGGCTTTATAACCAAACTCTTTTTATCACTCAGTTTTTCTAGAAGGTTTAAAAAAAAAAGGTCATTGGTCTGTTTAAAGGGTGGTGCATTCTAAGCAAAAATAAATAAAGGGTGTTTCGGGTACTCATGGAAAAAATCTTTATTAGGCATGTACATTTTTTTCCTTCTCAGCAAACAGTTCAAATTCCCTTTCTTACAACTAATTACTCTTCAGGTGCCATACTAGTGCTACCAAGTGGGAAATTTAAAGCAGAGGCATGGGCTACTTGCCAAGTGAAAATTAAGGAGGTAAAGAACCTACACAGTCACTGCAGGGTACACTCATGTTTTAGAGAGGGAACCCTGATTCAGACAGATCTAATGGTTCTAAAGCACACACTTCTGTGGGGGACTTGTATGGGCTGGTTTTTTTTTGTTTTTTTTTTTTTGTAAGTAATACTATCTAGAAGTGAAGTTTTAAGATACTGCAAGGGAAATCATATTTGTTAAGGTTTTCTGTTAATACTTTTGTTACTTTCGATTTTGGAATTTTCTTGAGAGGTAGAAGGTAAAAAACAAGCAGTCACTCAAACTATGGGGAAAAAATATTGACACAATCTCTTGATTTGGAGAAAATCTTAAATCCTTCAAGAATGCCAAAATTACTAATATCCAAAATAAGCATCTACAATTAACTGCCATAGCTTTAAAATCCTGGGTAAACTTACTTATATTAATAGTGAACTTTTGGTCCTAGGCTAAGGTAAGTCTAGCAGCAACTATAAACATTAACACCACGGCTTGGACAAATTCAGCCATTTTGCTTGAATGTATCTAAGAAGATAATCCTTTAATAGACAAGGACAGATGTTAGTGCAGTCAGTCCTTTGTTTTAGTCCTCAGGGACTCTAGAAGATTGACTCTAGATTTAAGATTTAAATGTTCCAGATGCTCATTTTGAGACAGATTTTACCGTTCATGCAACATAAGGAATATCTAGTATCTGTTGATTTTTACATGCATGTATATGCATGGTTTTGTGTATTATTTTGAAAATCCACCCAGGTGTGCATGTAGCTGTATATTTGTCTGCTCTTAAGAGTTTAGAATTCTGGATTTAAGTTCTGTATTTGTTTGGCCTTATAAATGCTTTGAGGGAGTGTAGATATCTGGCTTTGTTTGATTTCTGCAAAAGCAATTCCTTGCATATTTAAAAAAAATGGCTGTGAAGTGACTGCACATGTGAGAATCAACACTTGCATTCTCCAAGGATTCACATTAACAGTGAGTCAAGACCATCTGTACAAGAAGTACAGTAGTTACATTTCGTTATTGGTGTATAGAAATCACAGCTGGAGCAGATAATTAATGCGGAAGCCATGGTATTTATTATTTTCTTAGTTTCTAAGAAAAGCATTTCAAAGAAATTGTTGGAAAAATTCAGGATCTTTTCTCTAAGGTTTAGTATTCCCTCTGCTCATTTCTATTGAGTGCTTATAAGAAGAGAGTTTTTATTGCATACAACAGCATAATCATAGTTAGTTTTATGCAGTGTCATTGCTGTGGCAAAAATCCAGACAAAGTATATTGAATAAGAAATTAAAACCATAAGCAGTTGAAGTCACTAGTACTTCTCTTATTCATGTGAAGGCTATTCAAATGTCCACTGCTCAAATGTACCATATTTTTGCATCTTCAGTTCTCCAGTGTTTTCTCAGGTAATGTGATAGGAAAGCTGTGGGCAATACTGTGGGCAATTGCTAAGTGCCTGTGTAAGTCTACTTCAGCAGGAAAATTGAATTTCAGAGTAAGAACAAGTCAACCAGTCAAATGCTGACACATTCTTTGAAGAGGATAATGTGAAGGTTTAAGTAAAGTTTTTTTTTTCAGTTGCCTTCGTGCAGATATATTACTATATGAACTGGGAAGGTGCTTTTAATTTTTTTTTAGAAGCATAATTTAAAACTGACCCAGACTACACTTTTTTTTTTTTTCTGACAGCATTTTAAATATATCTCCAAACTTTATTTTAGCTATTTGATTTTTCACTTTTCTTGGAATTTTAAGGGAACTCTTTTCCACTGAGATTGTAGTTTGTTTATCTAGTAGATTATCTCAAGCATAGAAAGGTATGAGCATGAAAAGTAGAAAAGCAAAGTGCTAAAGAAAGCTTTTTATTCTTTAAAGGTTGTGGCTTACTTTACATATTCTCTTGACTATTTTTTATTGCTCAGTGTATCAAAGTATAGACCAGTGTTTGGTGTTGCATCTGCAAAACCAGCGTCACAGCTTCATGTCTCTCATGCACCCAAATAAAAGTAAATCAGCCAATTTAGTATTATTTAGTTGCACTGAAACAAAGAAGAAACTGATGATAAATTTAGATGCATTGGAAATTATTGGCTGAAGTATTATTTTATGCAATGATCTCACGTAAACTCTGGTTTTCATTAAGGATTTAGGATTTTTCACTCTTTAAAGATATATTATCACACTCAATATAACTATTATATTATATATACACACACACACAAACACACACACATACATATATATATATAACAATTCATGTATGTTTGTGGTTTCCTTAAAGTAAATTGTAAATTTTAGGAATAATTTTGAAATTATAAATTGAATTTTATTTGTAATTTTCCTGCAGCATGTGAAACTGCTTTTGCAATTTCCCTGCATTTTTTTCATTCCAGCAAATGTGTAATTACTTGGACAGATTTAGTGGCTTTCTAGATGAATGCAGTCCAGTTAGAAATGGTTGTAAACCTATCCAGTTCTTTCCTGTCAAAACACTTTTATAAATGTCCTGATTTTATGTATTTGAAGTCTCTTACATGGATGTAGTCCAGAGAGTTTGTGTATTTTTATTAAGTTCATTAAAGAGATTCTAAGTTTAGTGTCACCTCTTCTAGGTCGAGTGTTGGATTGTCTTCTTTCTCTGGTAGCATGAAAAGACATTTCTCATTATGTACATTAGATAATTTGAATGATATCTACAGAAGATTTGGATGATAACATTTTATTAAAAGTTTTAGAATTACTGAAGTTCGGAAGACTTTAAGTTAAGCAAAAATAGTAATTCATAGAAATTAACTTTGCATAAAGTTACTGCTGCATCAGTAGCATATACATGAATTCTGACTTTCATGTGTGTAAGTAGTAGAAGAAAGAAAAAGCAGAGATGCTGATAATAACCACATATTTTGTTAGGTAAAAAATAATCTTATAAGAATTCATATTGCTTCTGCTCTGTTAAACAATGTTCCTTTCCATTCTTATGTGGCAAAGTTGTCTGGAACCTCTTGCTTGTATCTGTCTTAAAAATAAAAACCCTGTATACAACATATTTAACACTTTTGACATACTTGGTGCAGAATCATATCTGCAGCTCTTGACTTTCATCACAGATTATAATGAAACAACCAAAGAATTCTGTGAATGTGTTTAGGCAAAGTCTGTTGCCAAAAACATGAACAGAGTCAAGATTTCTCTCCCCTTCTTTAGAAGCATATACTTGTCCTAACTACTTTTAATAAGAGTAGTTTAGATTAATTTATGGGAACTGCAATCTTCCAGCCCAGTACACTAAAAGAAGTAAACAAGATTTCTCAAAAATATTTAAAAATCAGACCAGAATTTTCTATTCTACTTTTTATTAAAATACAACAAAAGTTGAAAGGTAAACCAGAAGGGATAAACCTATGATATACCAGGATACT